AGTTCCCAACCGGGCTAGGAGCAAACGATCAAGAGCAACTTCAACTCACATCAACTGGACTTCCTTGCTGGAATCTAACACTCCTCTGACCGGCATGTCTATGATGGGTAAAGAGAGTTCATTGGCTTCCTCGCTCATCACAACAGAGCAGTTGGCAACAGCGTCGTTGTTGTCAGGGGTTTGTAAGTGCACCCACTGCGCATCGAAGAAAACACTAGCTATACTATCTAGTAAGGGTGACACAAGCTCTGATCGTGGGAATTTTGCAAGGTTATCGTTTTGAATCTGGGAATGATAATGGCCATTGCTCAAAATATTCCCTTTTGCCAGAGAATAATGTTTATTTTCCAGCAACTATTATTCGTTGACGGTTGTTTTTATCAACATAATTCATCATCGGTTAGTTATTTCAGTATCTATTTTACAAAAGGGTAAATTGAGTATTTAAAAAAATTATACATGAGTAAACATTTTCCATCTAAATCAGTAATCCAAGGAGGGAGGTTTTTGTTAATTTTTTTTTAATTTAGGGAGATTTTTATTTACCCTTTTATTATAATCTGCCTTATAAATCCTAATTAGTTTTTTGGATCTGTTTGTCAACAAAAGGAAAAATGGTGATGGAGATAAAAATTAACAACGGAGCTGCCATAAAATTGAGATTGAATTTAGATTCAGCTATATCCGAAATCTGATCCAATATTTTGGATTGAATGTGCATATACCCATTGACGGTTTAATCGACATGTGCAAGGGGGAGAGAGAGGGATGACGAAAGGTAGATGAATTTTGCATCATACAATGTTTTGCATCACACATATTTGTTTTTCCACCTTTCCCCATCCCTTAACATATATCACATCGAATTTGTATGAATTATTTGGTAGGTAGACTTAAGACTTGTTTGATTTGATAGTAAACAACAAGAGTGAAACATTGAGTGAGGAAAGTTTTAACAAAATGTCGCGTAAGACTTTTCATCTTTTACTTTCTTCAAACCAATATGTGATTGTGATTGGTTTTATTGTCGTTATTTTAGACAACAACGACACCTTAGAATTCACAAAGGTAAATCTTGGTTTTATGCACATTTTATATTATTATTTAGTTTCAGTTAAATAATATTAAGATTTAAGGATCACATAAGAAAAAAGTAAAAATGTCATTTTTATTGCAAAAAATATCAAATAATGTTTTCTTTAAGTATATATTTGACATCGATGCTGCAGATGAGAAAATGGTGCTGCTGATGTGTGGTTGGAAGCACTGTTTTCTTAGAAAATGATGTCTTTATTTTTGTTTGGAATTGTTGCTGCCAGGTAGGATGCTTTCTGGAGCAACAACTGTTTATGTTTGGTACTATTGCTCCATAAAACGTTTTCAGCATTGGTACACATTATCCAATGCCACATCATTGCCCTATTGGCAGCAATGAGCTGCAGCTTCAGGAAACGTCAAATTTGGCGTTGCTCCAAGCCATAGCTTCCCAATTTTCGAGGCGTGGCTTGGAGCACCATTTTTTATGGAAAAACGGTTCCAAACAAATGCCCATTTCCTAGAGCATCATTTTTTCCGATGTGGCGCCGTTGCTCTAGGAAACGACAACGATGCCAAACAACCGCTAAAAGTTGGTTTGTTCTCAACCAAACAATAAAATTGGAGGGAGAAAACAAAACAACTGCATGGTATAGATATAGTAAAAACACCTTGAGGGGTATCAATTGGACTGGATTTGGTCCAATATGAGTCCATTATAAATGGACCAGGTCCAATCCAATCCAATAAATATTTTGGACCGGTCCAATTCAATGTCTAGTTCGTGTAATTTGTTCAAATTCATTTTGATTTAGATTATTTTCAGCCCAAACCCATTCCATTGACACCTATATTCTTATCTTATATCAATGGATCATTTCTTTTCTTTTTTTATTCAATAAAAATGTTTTATTTATATTAAAAACCTTCAAAACTGAAAAATAATAAACATCTCACTAATACTTGGAAAAAAAAGAGAAAAAGAATGAAGAAAAAATATTGTATATATATTTTTATAAAATAAAGTATATTTTTATTTTATTTAATATATAGTATCAAGTCGAGCTGACAAAGCCCGAGACCGGCCCGAAAAAAGTTGGGCCCGGTGCTTTAGATCTAAGCCTGAATCCACGGGCCTAAAATTATGACAAAGCCCGACTTATAACGGGTCAGGTCGGGCCAACCCGTCGGGATACCTAGCCCATGGATAGGTCTACTAGTGAAAGTCGTTGAACACATCCTTATGAATGTTCTTATTTTTCCAAGTCAATGAACCAACCACGTCACAAGGCAAGAGCGGATTAGTTGGAGACAAAATCACACACTCGGATGAACTACCTATCACTATTGAATACGCTAGTGTTCAGTATAGCTGTGTCCCAGATGGGGCCCACAATGAGCAATGGCGTGTTCAATCGTGATAGGTAGTTTAGTTGGGTGTGTATGATTTTGTCTCCAATTCGTCCAAACTGAACACAAAGAACCATTAAGAAACATTCTAAATTTATCCATCCGTGCCAATCTCATGATTAAAATTTTTTTGTTCACCATTAACATTTTTAATACTTACTCCTAGGGCTTTGTTTTGAAAGTAAGATGGGAAAATGAAGAGAAAGATAATGGTTCCTATCCTCTATTATTAGTTTGGGCCAACTTTGTTTGTGTATCAATAGAATACATTCAAATCCAAGCTTGAGTTCGGCCTGACCATTGGGCATAGGTCTTGAGCCTGAGCCCAACTCTTATATAAAGGCTATAAAGCTCGAGGATCGGGTCCAAGCCCAAGCTTGACCACAAATTTGAAAATAAATTTTTATTCAATAAAAAAGTGTTTTATTTATATTAAAAGCCTTCAAAACTCAAAAATTAATAAATGATCTCACTATTACTTGAAAAAAAGAGAAAAGGAAAACAATATTGTTTATGTATTTTTTATTAAATGAAATATACTTTTTATTATATAATATATATTATCAAGTTAGGCTCGAGCTTGAGTCGAGCTTTTTTGAGAAACCTAGCTTGACCCAAAAAAAGGCTGGGCTTGGTTTTTAGGCTCGAGCCCATGGGCCCAAAATTATATCCAAGCCCGACTTAAAACAAGCCAAGCCAACCCGGCCTGTCAAACTACACGGCCCATAAACAGGTCTAATTATCATATGTATTTGGTTTGAAGGAAAAGGTAGAAAAAGGAAGAAAAAGATAAGGAAACCTTGTACAGATTTCCCTTCCTTTCCCTACCTTTTTCTTCAAACTAAGCATAGCCTCAACGTGACATGGCGGGTCTAATGAATTGGACAAATAAAAATGTTTGGAATTGAAGAGTTCACTTTCTTTTATTCAATGACAGACGAAAGCTTCCGTCCCAAGATTTTTATTGGGCCAGCTGGATCTATTAATCCACGTCAGAATTGCTTGTCCCAATGCGTTTAAATGAGAAACGATTGGTTACGGCGTTTGTCTAACGACGTCAGGTTAGATCTAATTTGAATAACTCCAACTATTTTCAACTTTTACAGCTTACATCTATTTGGGTTTGAGTTTTTTCCCAAAATCAAAAAGCAGAGAGAAGAGGGAGGCCAAACTTACTCCTCCCCATCACCATTGCAGAGCACATGAAAAGCACAACCATTTCCATAATACCAACCGATTAGCTTTTATTTTTTATTGTCTATTTTTTTTTTTTCATTCTGGTTTCTGTTACGCCAATAACCCCTTTGTTTCTATTATTAGAACAAGTTAGCTTTAAGCGTTTAAACAAAAAATCTTCTTTGTTCTGCCGATAACTTCATCGATGACTAGGTTTAATCTTTAACAATGAATTGTTCGTCTGCCGATAACTTCATCTATAACTTACAGAAAACAACTTTGCTTTTAATGCATGAAACTATTTGTTTGTATCTCACCAATATATAAAGAAAAAGACAAGGGYAATATTTGGCTBGTTAACCTTAKGTTRATGTGTTTCTTTCACATGTAGGGAGTTGTTAACGTATTAGAACTAAAACCATATTTTCATCTTTGTTTTTCTTTTTTGCTTGATATTACATAGTTTTCAGAATGGTGAGACAGAGTTATTGGCGTAACTGAAATCAGAATGAAAAAATAGACAATAAAAAAATAAAACAAAAAAAAAAAATAAAAGCTAACCAGTTCGTATTACGAAAATGGTTGTGCTTCCTTCCTTGTTCTATGCAATGGTGAGACAAAGGAGATATTGGCGTAACAGAAACCAGTTCGTATTACGAAAATGGTTGTGCTTTTCATGTGCTCTGCAATGGTGATCAGGAAGAGTAAGATCGGTCTCCCTCTTCTCTTTGCTTTTTGATTTTGGGAAAAAAAAAATCAAACCTAATAGATGCAAGCCGTAAAAGTTGAAAATAGTTGGAATTGTTCAAATTAAATCTGATGTCGTTATAGTTTCTCATTTAAACGTTGGGACAAGCAACTGTGACGTGGATTAATAGATCCAACTGGCCATTAGTCCTTCGTTGAATAGTCCAGATCTGTTCTTCACGGAGCGTTCCTTGCACCAACCTCGAAGAAAATGTGAAAAACCCTCGTAATTTATGTATACGTTAGGCCCGTGATTATGCATACGTGTATATCAATAATTTGCCAATTGTTCTTGGGCTCGTTAAGACAAAAGTTTTAAATGACGTGGCGAAAATTGATTGGTGAAGTATCATGATTTTAACGAGCCAAACGTTTGCCTGCATAGAATTTGGAGTCCTTGGGGTTTGGGAACGTGCAGGCCAAACGACCTTTTTTTTATATTTTTTATTCCCTATTTCGAGACCTTTGTATTGTATTTACCTGAAAAATAAATATTTATATGTATTTGCTTCGTAGATTTAAGTCGGTCCCACACCCCAACGGTATTGTACACGACCAAGGTGGGTACTTATTTAATAAGAAACGAAGAGCGTCACACCCAATAATTCACCTCTGCCTTATCTAATAATCTAACCAGTAACCACTGTGTATTTTGTTTTTCCTTCTATAAATAACTCCTCTCTTGCGCAGGTTTCATTTTCGTATTTCGGCCAGCACTGCCAAAGCAAGCAAAACAGTAAGGATGAGTTATTATAACCAGCAACAGCCTCCCGTCGGCGTTCCTCCTCCCCAAGGTACGAGCCACTCTCCGCCCTCCCGATCTACGGTTTTCTAGAGGGTTTTTGCTCCTTTTTTTTGGTTATTACAATATAATCCATGGTCGATCTTTTGTTTCTTTTATGACCAAATTAATTAATATGGGGGTAATTGGCGTTAGAGAGGGTTTGATTTCATTTATTGTAGCTTAGAATTTGAAGGCGGTTAGGGTTTTGACCTGATTATTTGGTTTTTTTTCCTTAATTCTTTTAGGATATCCTCCTGAGGGGTACCCAAAAGACGCTTATCCTCCACCAGGTTATCCTCAAGCGGGTTATCCCCCACAGGGATATCCTCCACCCGGTTACCCACCGCAAGGGTATCCTCCGGCGGGATACGCTCCGCCACCACCACCTCAACAACAACAGAGCGGCGGTTTCTTGGAAGGATGGTAAGCTTCATTCCCGCTAACTTTCTTTCCATTTGTAATTTGATCATTTTCCTTGTCTAGATCTGAGAGTATCATCAGATCCAGAATGTTTCGCCTATCTTATTTAAGAGTCAAAATCGAGTTATCACTTGTCACTCATCATAGGCACGGCGCACGCTGGTAAGACGGTGCGCACGATAATGTACGTGATGGTGGTGCGCATCAGTGGAGGATGATCCTCCCCACGGCAGATAGTTTATTACTTTTTGTCAAATATTTTATTTCGTAAATCGTGAATTGTGGATGGGGCACAATTCACAACACAAGAATTTTACCCTATGAGATTTCCTGAATGCCCTCCACATAACTGCCGCCATGTGGTCCATCCATTACAATACTCCAATGGTGTCTCCGTTGATTCATACGTACAATAACGTTGAAGATTGGGGACTTTTGTGTCATTTAAATAGTATGACCGTATATTATGGCGAGGGAAGTTAGAAACTTAGAACCGTGAAAACCGTTGGTCCGTCTCTAGCCTCGCCTCATCTTTTGATGAAGCAATAGGGGTAATATGGTCATTTTACGTAGTTATGTAATTAATTGAGGAATGACTGAATACTAAGTGGAAGTTTGATTAAAATTTCAAATTTTAAATGGATGCAGTTTGGCTGCTCTATGCTGTTGCTGTCTTCTGGACGCCTGCTTCTGAAAGGAGAGAAGAGAGAAACTCTCGCCCAGCAGCTGCTATTGATCGACGAATTAACGAGGTTCAATTTTAATGATTTGGATAAAAACGAATCACTCTGGCACGGTGACACCAAACGGGCATTCTCTGCTTAAATCCTCTCTGTTTTAGATTCCATTTTTTTCCCTTTTATTAGAGAATTTGGGAGTTTGTTTATTACTTGGAAACGTAACCTCACCTTTGGTGGTGTGTGCGGGTTGTGGGGTCAGATTTGGTAATGTGGGTTGTGTGCAGGGGTTTCCGTTATGTCAACTTTACACCTATTTTTTACTTAATTTGGTTGATTGATAGGAACTTATGCTCTTTTAACAAAAGTCAGCAACAGTTGTCTTATCTCTTGTTCATTTAGTGATTTGCAAATAATGCAATACAAGCAAACTTCAGGGAAAATTCCTTTAACAGTACACTGAATTTTGGGGTTGTGTCAGGTCAGTCTTCAAATTTCAAAACAGTACCCTTAATTTTGAAATTGTGTTTAATAGGTCTCTAATACTGTTATGTGACATCAGGTGAGTATTAAATAATTTCAAAATAGTAAAATTATCTTTTATGATATATTTTTTATCATTTTACCCATTTTGTTTGAGTGTTAGAAGAAATTACCTGTTTTATAAAAAGTAATTTTATCATTTTGAAATTATTTAATGCACACCTGATGTCACATGGGTGTTGACGGATGATCAACTACACTGTAGGGATCTCTTAGACACAATTTGGTTCAGAAACTGTCTTGATACAACCCCAAAGTTCAGTGTACTGTTGAAGAATTTTCTCCAAAGTTTATTTTCTGGCCCTGGGATGGAAAGCATGAAAACAAACGCAACCTTAAATTAGGAATTGAATCTTTTCTTTCAATTTGGCGAAAGCATCTGCTGCTTTCGGTGACAGCTTTTGCTGACTTGTTTTATTAGCTGCTTTGCACAAATGAAGTAATAGTGGAGACCGGATCTGTTCTTCACACTAGGCGTCCTCACACGCACATCCTATCATATATTGGGAATATCTCCCATACTTATTTAGTATTATTTATGGGAGATATTCTCAAGTGCACGGTGGATGTGCATGTGAAGTGCTCATTTGTGAGGAGCAGATCCCATCACGTAATGTAATAGTGTCGGTGATCTTCTGAGAGGTGTCAGATCTTCTCGTTTTCCAGGTTCACAAAGAAATCAGCAGCTTTTATTTGTTTATGGGAAAGTATATCAAAAGCTGGTTTGGTGATGGGGCATCTATTTTTTATCTTTAATGGGTTTTTTTAAATATGTTCTTCGTCCTTAAGATTTGAATGAATGGTTGGAATTCACAATTCAGTTCATGGAATACAAATATTCTAATCAAATACTGCTGACTTTATGTATAAGTTCTAAATTTCTCCTTTCCTAATCCTCCCTCCTCGCGTTATCCGAAAGTTTCCCAATTACCGAATTAGAAATTAGAAAGAATGTCAGTTTTCCTAATTTTATCACTCACTTTTTGGCAAACGTTTATTTTCAACACTACCGTTACATTGTTACATTCAAGTTTTCAACCAAATACCATTAAATGACATCTTCTAGAAATAAAAAAAAAGAACGATGCATGAGCAAGTAGAACACAAAATAAGCAAGAAGTAGTGGAAAAAATACAACACACATACTTTAGGATAAAATCTGAAGATTTCGAAGCGAAAAAAAGGATCTGAAGATTATTTTCAAGCTGATTGGTGTAAGAATGTCTCTTCAACTGTCTCTAAAATTCCTCAAATTTATAATGGACTTAAAATTATTTTCTTTCCTTCATTTTTTATTCATACTAATGGATACCTCCTTATTGAGTTGTGAAACCTCATAATCGAGGTGAGAAGCATCTGCTAACCATTAAACTAATCCCCTCTTGCTAGTTGATATCCACGCACAAGATGACACATCGACACTCTATTGGCTGTACTAATCACAACTAAAATGCGATTCTTGGTTAAATTATAATTTAATATATTAATATTCTTAGCCATGGATGTCTAATACAGCATTTGGTTTGAAAGAAAAAGTAGGGAAAAGAAAGAAAATGTAGAGAGACATTTACAGACCTTGTATAGAAAAATCTACTTTCCCTACCTTTTCCTTCAAACCAAACATTGCTCAAGTGCCATCATAAAATTAAGGTTTTAAATTTTGAAAAATTCTGACCATTTGGAGCCTTTTAAAAATTTTATGTTATTTCGTATAAAATAGCTTCATTAAATATTAAATATTTCATCAATATTTTTTTATTTGATCTTATTTAAATAAAACTGAAAATTTAGACAATTTTGGCCGAAATAAATCCACGCAGTCCTATCGGTGGTCTTGCTGTCACTGAAAGCTTCAGATCATGCCTTAACTAACTCGGATTTGGTATTCATAAACATTGTAGTGGCCCAAGTCTTCCAGCTTCTTTTTGCCCCTGATCATGACTCATCAAATTGTACCTGTACCTTACCTAATTAGCAAGTATAGTATAACTCGGATTTGGTATTCATAAAATTGTCTCACTAGATTGCAATGTTTTTCAGGGGTACCTGTACCTTACCTGGACCTTACCACGAGGCTGGCCTACTTTTGCCTTTGGGTCATGAAACATTGATTTGATTGTTCGAGTTGAATGAGTCAAATTATGTGTGTATGAGTAAATATATATTTTATTAATAAATAGTAAATAATTATGTTTTATATATAATATATGTATTGTTTTATATTTAATTTATATTATTTTTAACTTTTATTTATAAAATATTAAAAATTATGATTTGATATCAAAAAAGAGTTTTTTTTTTCACGAAAATAGCAGGGCAAGACACTCACAACACCTTTAGACATATAGATTTTGAAAAGTTACCTAAAATGAAAAAAAAAAGAAAAGATTATCTTAATTGAACATTAAAGTACAAAGTTATGACCTCCAAAAATTTATACATACATTAAGTGTGTAACCTATGATTCAGTGATCAGGTTGAATAGTTCAATTGTAACAATGCACATACATTGTTGTTCAGGCCCTTTTTGGGAAGATATTTTATTTATCTGAGCTGCCAGAGTTCTGTTCGAGGAACAACTCCTTAATTGTCAAGGAAATACTTGGTGTCACAGATGAAGATCTTAGCACTCTTCGAATGCATACTTTCTCCAATAATGGGGATGTTGATTCAATTCAGAAGATGGTAGATAGTCCAGAATCAGGGGAATCCAGTGAAGATTCATCCAATGCTTCACGAGATTGATAATGTAATTCTGGGAGTGTAGAAGCAGGGAGCAAATTGCAGTGTTGGGCTTAGTTTAGCATGGGGAGAATCAGAAGAGTAATTTGGGAGTTTAGTAGCTCCAGAGAAAGATGGTCTTATATATTATTTAGTTCAGGGGATTTTGATTTTTCTTATAAGTACTTCAGAAGAAGATAACGTGAGAGAAGAAAATTTTGGCGAGTTCCATTTTTTTTTCATGGTAATACATTCTGCAGTGAGGTTGAAATACTAAATCGATGGTCTCATCTTGCTTTTATATTCAAAAAACACTGGTTCTGGCCATGGCGGTGCCCAGTGGCGAGCGCTTTAGACTCTGTTTCATTTTCTTGAGAAAGAAGATGATTAATAATGTATTTTATTTTTAAGGGTAATTTTGATATTTTCAAAAGTCTTAAATGACATGTGAGGTCACGTGATATACATAACTGATGGTCCATTAACGGAAGATACTAGAATGTTGGAAAATGAAAATTCGGATATTAGATTGTTGTATTTTAAAGTTCGGGTACTAAGTTGACACTCAGTCTAAAGTACAGGGTACCTATCGGGAATTTTCCGTTTTAATGACTGAAATATGACAAAGAAACTCCCCTCTCAAACACAAAAACCATTTTTTTTCAGAGACATGAACAGTTTTCTTGGTTGTGATTTCGATAAATAAATCTGGGTTTCATTTTTTTATCCTTATAGTTGGTTTGAAGAAATGCAAAATTATTAATATCGACACTGCTAAATTTTCACTTATAATAGGGATTGGGGACCAGAATTTGCATCAACTAGACTGTCCAACTATTTTCAAAATGCTTTAAGATAACTGGTAGCCTTTCTATTGCTTGTTATTATTGTTGAGGAGAAGCCCACCAAAGATAAAAGTAGTTTTTCCTTTATTTCTCTTTGTTTTTTTTTGTAATTTTTATAAGTCAAAATGCATTTCGTTTTCATATTTATATTTATGTTCTTTAACTAATCTGATGGAGAGCAATCCGGTCGGTCTTAGCTGTCAACGATCTTGTCTCTGACTGGAGCAAAAGGTGCCTGAAATGAGAAAGAAAGCGAGTAGTCTCCGGGGAGGAACCCGGTGAGATTGCTCCGAAGCTCAAGTTAGTATATTCTCAAAGGCAAGACAAAAGACCAGATGGCACAAAGTTATCATGTCCCTGGCGTCTTGGGGGGGAAGGGGGCCTTTTATAACCACTTCGCGCACTCACTCCCAAGCTCCTGTCAGGTCGGATATCATTACCTCTGCACTTCCACCAGTTCGGGTGTCATCACATCTGCTGGGGCAGACAACCGCCACTGCTCTCTTTGTCGGAGTCGTCTCTGTAACTGGAAGTGGCGGTGGTAGGTGGCCGTTGAAGTGCGGCTGTCAAGCGTCAGATCCTAAGTCAGTCAGGTGCGCCGCCTCAGGAGACAGACTCCTTTGGTGTCAGGTACGGTTGTTCAGTTCGGCGGCCTGGAGACGAAGTGCCGGAGTGGTGTACGAGGTGAAGTCTTGAGTTCGGATAGAAGTGTAGCCCGAACTGCCCTGGGGTGGGCCAGTTCGGGTTGTTGCCCTTTGCGCTCCTCGTAAGGCTCGGGGTCAAAGGGAGAGTTCGGGCTCCTTTTGGGGGGCTCGGACCACTGGTTCCTCCTCTCGGAGGTCGCGTCTCGAATGTACTGCCGTGCCGAGCTGTTGCTCCTGCCAGGTCACCCGCAGTTGCTTCCACGTATTGGGTGGCCAAGGGGTCGGACCAAATCTTCCTCCATCAATTGCCCCCCACTCCTCGCGCTAAGGGTCTTGCCCTGGCACGGGGAGTTCGCGAGGTGACGGGTGGATTTGACCCGTACTTCAAACTGGTTAACTGATGGCGCGAAGTGTGCGTACGTCAGAAGATTTCCGAATTCCTCGAGTGCCAAAAAGTCAGAAAACGCGCCAATCCGTCTTTAAATGCAGGGAGATGTGACGACGGGCGTTATTTCAAATTCAAAAAATGTGCCACTATTGCCTTTAATGCTGGGAGACGGGACAGCGGGCGTTATTTCAAATTTGAAAAAATGCGCCACTGCTGCCTTCAATGTTGGGAGATGTGCGTCGGCG